GATCCCGCCGCCTGTGCGGCTTTGCTCGGGTCTCCCTGATGTGCTGGGGAGTCCCCCCCAGCACACCAGGGAGACCCAGAGCAGCTTTTCTCGTCCCGGAGGACGTGGTGGTGGGACCGCTGCGCTCTGGGCGGTACCGCCGCCCGCGTCCTCCAGGGCGAGAAAAGCCCTGTTCGTAACTGCGGATCCGACGTAAGTCAGATCCGCGTAACTTGGGGACTGCCTGTAATGTTAGAGGCCTTTAATGCTAACTGTAAAGCAAAACTGGCACCCAGCAATGTCACAGGGTATGTGTGCAGGATTATAAGAATTTTTGCACAAATAAAGAGAAGATGTCACCTTACTTATGGCAGTTCTCTTGCCTGCATCCAACTGCTATTTAATCTCACTGTTGCAAGATCACTTAAAAACAAAATAGCTTCCCCCCCCTCCCCATTCCCTAGACCCTCTTATTGCCACCCTGTCTCTGCCTTTAGTTTTGAGTCCATCTTTCCCTTCCTCCCCCAGATATTTGCAATCTTCCTGGAAATCCATTATCTTGTTGGTAAGCGTAGGATGGAGGTTCTCTTGCAATGCTGCCATCAACACCAAGCCTCAATCAGCTGGCAGGAGGTCTTTGAAGAGTAGCCAGGCTTGCTCCCATCCCAAACCAGAGCTTGAATACATCAGTATGAGTAAAACACCTGATCTTAATCATAGCAGGGAGCAGGAGTCAATCCTGAGGTCAATCCTGAGCTCACAGCTCACACACAGCTGAATGACACGTGGTTGGTGTACAGTATTAGCAGGCCACATGGTTCACATTTGTTCCAGATATTCAGCAATACAATGAAATGGAAAAAATGATAAATAAAGCAGCTCCCAACACCATCAGGATTCACCCAGCGAGAGAAAGACATTCTCCTGTGAATGCCACTGAAACTCATCCTGCACATCCTTGCTGCCTCTGATGTCAGGCTACTGCACTTTGGTTCCCAACTACTTTAAACCCCAGTATTGTTACAATGTCATTGCTCATCAAATTGCTTAATGTCCAGGAATGCAGCTCTAAGGAGGGTGGAGGATATGGTGGGTAATGATGCCCTCCCATGGTATATTTTGATAAGACTAGAGTCTAGTCTATACTAGACCAGGAAGGTTGGCTTAAGGTACGTAAATCCAGCTATGCAAAAAATCTGGAGTTGGCTTACCCTAAACCGAGCCCTGGTGGCATCCACTCAGCAGGAGGCCAATGGAAGCAAACGCTCTGTTGGCTTCCCTTACTCCGTGCACAAGAAGGAGTACTAGACACCGGTGGGGCTGCCCCCAGCATTCAATTTGCGTGTCTATACTAGACCCACTAAATCAAACACTAGAAGACTGACCTCTGGAGCATCGATATTGCGGTAAATATAGACGTGCCCTAAGATCTCAGAAATACATTAGTAATCATGACTTTGGAGCTCGTGTGGGGGGACAACGTCTTTTGTTTTGCTTTAATGTATTTTTCAAAGTAAGATCCTCAGGACTGTGATGTCGCATCAAGTGGAATTCACCTCTTGATATAGCTCCCCAGAGGCTGTCCATCTAGAAAAAACTCTGATGGGGAGAAAGATGTTCTGGGCTGCCTTTAGCAAATTGACATAGCAGTAAACAGAATAGCTTTTACAGCTGATCGGCCACCTAGCCTTCAAAAGAAATCTGGGTTGCCACTGATCAGCTCCAACTTCTACACCTGTGATGTATGTGTTCGGGTACAAATGACTATGACAAATCAAACTAAAGTCTTCTTTCAAAACACAAATGAATCATCATTAAAGATCATCCATTTATAGAAGACAAATACATGGCACAAATGATTCTGTGCACTAAATACCTTGTCCATTAGGGACATAAATAGGCCATTACCACCAACTCTACAAAGCGGTGAATGCACTTTAACCAAACAGAATCCCCACAACACGACAGTGAGATACAAATAATTGCCCAGAGCCACACAGTGAGCGAGTATAAGGCCCAGGATTAGAATTTGAGTTCCATTTTCACTTATCTACAGTATTTCCTTTCACAAATGCCCTTTAAAATAATACTTCATAAAATGAACTGAGAGCACAACTAGAAATATGCAGACCAATTTGAGCAAAATGGAGGAACTCCACTATCCCATATACTCTTGAAGCTCAAAACCTCAATTTTATCCTCTCCTCTCCTCTCTTCCCTTCCCACACTAATGCTGTCATTGTTTCCAGAATTCACCCACTTCTTTCCATTCATACCTTTCCCAGGCTATTATTATTTTTCACTTCATTCCTCCCTATTTTGCCTTCTATACATTCAGCTCAGGCTTTTTCAATCTGCCCAAATATGCTACCTTGCCTGCCACTCTGACCACATCACATTCTTCTTCAATTTGCTTTTACAGGCTTTCCACATGAAACATACACTCCTTCTGCTCAACTTCAACGACCTGAAAAATCTAGCTCCTACCTGTCTGTTTTCATCTTCTTTCATTCTTCCCTAGCCTAGCCCTTTAATTTTCTTTATTCTGGGGGCTAGACCTCCTTCCATGCTGTCTTTTAAGCCTAAACATTCCTCCCTGACCCAATCTGTGATCCTCTATGCCCTTTCCTCTTTAAAGCACACTTCTTCCTACGGCCTATAAACCCTAGTGCTTTCAGCTGAAGTATTAATTTGTCTGATTCACAGAGAATGAAATTCTGTATACAACTCGTAGATTTGAGAACTAAACCTTTAGTTCAAGTTGCAGAGAGGCCAATGCTTTTAGATATAGAGGTCTCCAGTTCAATCCCCGGTCATGACCAAAATGCCAAATCATCATCATAATTAATGATAAACATTAAACAAACAGCAAAACTCACAAAATGCTAATCCTACTTCATCATTCAGTCACACTGTTCTTTGTTACTTTTCCCCTTGCCTTTGTTTATACCTTATTTTAAACTGAAAGATCTTCTAAGCAATTATTCTGTCTTTATACTTGTCAGTCAAGAATCTAGCACTCTCAGTACAACAAAAATTACTTTTCATCTATATTTCCACATCAAGGAGTAGATGCCCCACTGAAGTCTCTGGCAATTTGCACATTGATTTTAACAGTATCAGGATTTCACCCTTTATGTCTATAGCCTACCTATATCATTTACTATTTACAAATGCTTGTCTGTTCTTCTGTATTAATTGAGAGGCTCTGAACTAATACAAAACAATGAAATGGCATGTAAATAAATAGTATACATCAGAAAATCAGACACATACCCAGGGCAGTACAAAAGACAGTTTGTTTTCTACAACTACAAATAGGTAGACTCAAGGTGGCAAGCATTTCCTGAGAGAAATAGTTTAAAAGCATAAGGAATTTGGAATATTCCACCCAAATTTGCTTGGGCATCATTAACATCCCAGAGTTCTGGCAAATGCCGGAAGAGAAGCTCTCTTGATGTTTGGCAGGTAGAATTATTCATTGATGATGATCGTACTCACCTTTAGCAGCAACGTAACAATCTAAAACAGTTCACATGAAAAACCATCAATTTACAGAACTCTGAGTAAAGGTTGTAGTGATCCAACAGATATTTTACTTCACCATGATGGCCACTGTTGTTTTCAATGGGCACTGTACCATGAATGTGTGAATAAAAAGATGCATTACTTAGCATACCTTACTAATACCTCATGCACAACAAGGAAGGATTTGAATGGGTTTTCAGGACTTTTTTCATTGATAGGATGTTTTCTTTTCCTTAGCTTAGAAGAGGATCAGTGGGGTTTACTGAGTTAAAAACATGTTCAGATTTAAACTTGGAAGAAACTGTAAACCTGTAAGTGTAGGATTGCAATAATGTTGCAGAAAAATGGCTGAAATTTCTTGCCAATTTTCATTTCGATGTAACTGAACCTGTTTACATCACATAGTAACTGTATAATTGACTAACCCCTATAGGCAGTAGAACTGCATTAACCTGGGCACGACTGATGAGAGAAATCCGGAGGGATTCCCCAGTATTAGTCACAATGAAAGGAATAGACCATGCTCACAGGGAATATAATTTTGATAGATTAATTGGAGCAGTGCAAGGAATTATAGGAGCTGAAGGGCTATAAAAATCCTGCCTCAGAAAAGAGAAAGGCAGGTGCTCTGAAGTTAGACAGTGATTTTAAAACAGCACTTTTCCCATTCTATAGTAGCAAAAATAAGCCTTTTAAATCTACATCAAACATCTTCGTTTATCAGGCATCAGACTAGGGATATAAAAACTATCTTAATTAGTTATCTGGTTAAATGATTTGTTTAATTGGTTAACCACTGGGCAGGGGGCTGCTCCTGCCAACCAGGCCCTCCAGTTGACCCATTACCCAATAAGGATGCCAGTAAGACTAATGCTTATTGGGTAACCATTTAACCTTTTACATACCTAAATCAGAGAACAATCAACTATGTAACAATGCAGAATATTCCACCTAGGTTAAGGTTAATGATACAAAACAGCAGGTTTAACCTATCTGAATATATTAAATAGCATTATGTCGAAAACTCAAATTTTCTTGCCTATTACATTTCCTTTTGAAGTAGATCACTCCTGCCTCATGTTTCTGGGGACATGGACAACCTCATCCTAGAGCTTGTCTCTTTGCTGAGTTGTGCCCCAAAGTTTAGAATGGAGAATTCCTTTCAGCAATGAGAGACAGCACCTTCTGGTTTTAATTACAGAATGATCTGAGAGATTTATGGTGTAAATATTGAGTGCTACATTGTGCCTTTAAGTCAAAGCCCAGTGTTAAGGAGATGTAGAGAAACAGCCCTACAGTGAAAATCCAAGGCAAAATTTTGCCATACTCAATCACAATTCCTTCTGTAGCATGCACGCAACAGATCCTCTGCTAGCCTTTAACTGGACTAGTGTGGTGTACGTTCTCTCCACTCATTCTTGAGAAGGTTCACTGACTACTACTCAGGGGAGTGTAGTTATGATCCTGCTCTTACTTCAGTTCTCTTTGGAGGATCAGTCTAGAACCAACCAAATTTCTACAATCTTTGAACTTCCTAGACAAGGGGCATAGCTATGGGTGGGCCTGAGTGGCCCGTGGCCCAGCCAGTTAGCATCCCGGTTACCCAAATCAGGGCCCGGAGCCCCCCAAATCCATGGCCTAGCCACACTGGTTTCCTGCCAGTGCCACATCTTGCTGCCCTGGTCTCTAGCCCTAGCTCTAGCCCCACAGAGGGCATACCTTATTGAGGAAGGTGTGGGTGGGGCTAGTGCTGGGTCTGGAAACTGGGACCTCCATGCATAACACCGGCAGGAGAGTAACGTAGCAGGACTGCCTGCTGAGAAATAAGCGGGGGGTATGGAGAGACTGGTCTCCCATTCCTCCTGCTTTCTCTCCACAGGGCACCAAATCTCTCCTGCTTCCCTCTCTCCAGGGCAATGGATCTCTCCTGCCTCCCTTCGCTTCCTGCCCCCCTCTCCAGAGCTCCAGATCTTTCCTGCCTCCCTCCCCTTCCTGCCCCCACCCTCCCAAACACCAGATCCCTCCCATCCCCTGCCCATGGCACTGGATCCCTCCTGCACATATGATCCTTCCTACCCCCTTCAAGGATCTCCACCCCACTACCCTGCCCCCCATCATTGCCCACCTACCTGAAAGCTGGGCCCACCCACTTTTCTTGTCCTAGCTACACCAATGCCCTAGACTCTTGCTAGCCCCTTGTACAGGCTTAAAATGGGAAGCAAAGAGTCTGCCATGCACTCCCCTCCCTCTGCATGTACCAGAGTGAACTTCTATAATGAAGTAATTGTCCTTGGGTTGAATGCGCTGAATTTACCCAGTTCAGGAAGAAAACACTTCACATACGGTATTGGGCATCAAAATATAAATAAATCTTGGATCGTTATTCAAGTGTAATGTGATGCAATCAGCTGCGGAAGAGAGCGTATCACTATCTGTCATTAATTAAGAAAGGATGTTTGCCTGCATTTATGATATGCAATGTCCTAAAACCTAGACCTGTCAGTTCTGCAACTCAGGCTCTGAAGTTCTAGCAGTGAATGCCTATTTTCTGTTTCTTTGAAGGCTTCATTCTAAAAGCTAATCCGAAGTCACATGCATAATTAGTAAGCAAGCAATGCAATCAGTTATTGACAGAAATCCTGATAGTACTTCTGAAAGCTTGCACCTAAGCAAATACAAAGCAAATTCATTAAATGAGGACTTAACACGTTGACAAACACTGAAACTTCAGAAAGAGTTTCTGCTCAGTAACATAAAGAACCTAAATAGCACTACCAGGCAAGGCAGCGTTCCTTGTTGAGTGCCAATTATATAAAAGAAAGAAAACAAAAATAATATATATATTTCTGAAATAAAAGTATACATTAAGAAAAACATTTTGGGCAATATCTTCTATACAGATCTGTTTGTGAGAATTTGTGGGATCAGGGCCCAATTCATAGATCAATACTACAGGCTGAATCCCTCTACTCCAGCACCTGATTACTACCAAACCAGAGAGTTTGCCAAGCCATGGGAGGTCAATATTGTCTAGCAGCATTACCAACACTTCAACTGTTTACTGGGCTCTTAGAAAACATTTAGGGGTAAATTAGAGTAAATAACAGCACAGAACATTGAGAGCCAGAACTGGTGGCTGTATACACACATCCAGCTAACTAAAATCACGCCAGACCACAGATGTTGCTGGACCCAAGCGTGAAAGACTAGGGAAGTTCAACCTGTACATGAAATATTACAGATTCAGTGAAATGTAGGTCTGGGAGAGACTTTGAGAGGTCAAGTCCAGCCCCTATACTAAGGCCAGACCAAATCAACCTACACTATTTCTGACAGACTTTTGCCCCATTTGCTATTAAAAATCTACAGGGATGGAGATTCCACAATCTTGCCTGGAAGCCTATTCCAGAGTTTAACTAACCTTATATTTTGAAAGTTTTTCCTTATAATCAACCTAAATCTTCCTTGCTGCAAATTAGGCCATTTACTTCTTGCCCTACCTTCAGCGGACATGGAAAAGAACTAACCACCACCCTTTTCACAACAGCCTTTCACTTTTTTACTACTGGTGTGAGGTTGCCTCAAAGTCTTCTTTTTTTCAGGACTAAACATGCTCAGTTTTTTTAACCTTTCCTCACAGGTCAGGTTTTCTAATCCTTCTATCATTTTGTACTGCTTGTTTCTGAACTAGCTCTCATTTATCCTGATCTTTCCCAAAGGGCAGACCCAGATCTGGACATGGTATCCCAGCTGAGGCTTCACCAGTGTCAACCAGAGTGGGACACTTATCTCTGTGCCTTACACATGATACTCCTGCTAATACACCCCAGAATGACACAAAACTTTTTTGCAGTTGCATCACATTGCTGACTCTCATTCAATCTATGATCCACCATGTCTCCCAGATCCTTTTCAGTAGGACCTAACCAACTATTCTCCATTTTGTGGCCGCGCCTTTGATCGTTCCTCCCTAAGTGCAAAACTTTGCACGTGTCTTTCCTGAATTTCATTCTTGTTGATTTCAGACCAAATTCTCCAATTTGTCAAGTTTGTTTTGGATTCTAATTCTATCCTATAAAAAGCGCACGCCAGTGTCTTGCCACGCATTGCAGTTAGGCAGACTGGTCTATAATTCTTCAGGTTCTCTTTCTTACACTTTTCAAATACTATCTCCATAGTTTTAGAATCAAACTGCCTACTTCCAGGCAATGGAGCTGGCCCACAAAAGCTCATCACCTAATAAACCATCTTATTAGTCTTTAACGTGCTGCATAGTCCTGTCTTTTGTTACTTCTAGGCTAGATATTCTCATCAAATTAATTTACATATATTTAAAATGTGTCTCAGTAAAATGCCCTCTCTTCTCAACACAAAAAGGAGGCAGGATTGAAAGTATTTCCTTATGATCCATTACTGTGATCAGTACTGAAAATTTGCTAGTAATGAAAGTATTCATACTCATCCATTAACCTTGGTGAAACTCACGAGCTATGGAAACCCTAATCTCCAGAACAGTAAAGTGCAGTGCAATCTCCTTTACTAAAAGGCATAAAATTGTTCCGCAAAAGAAATAAAAGTTCTTACTGATTTTCAACCCTCTAATTTGGTTCCCCTGTGCAACAGTAACCACCACCAGGTGGATTTGAACATGGGACCTCTACAACTTGAGCTATAAAGTCAGCTGGCTCTCAGCTTAGGCTGTAGAGCCCCCTTCCTTGTTCTTACCTCTCACTGTAAGTGGTCTAAGTGCCACTACATGGGACAGTGAACCACGCTAGGTGTGTAGGCTATACAACAAAGTGACAATTGGAGACCTACGCTCTGATTGAAGTCATGTAACCCAATTCCAGAAGCAATTCACCTGCCAGCCTTATGAACAGTTACTCCCAAAGAGAATGCCATTGGCACTAGAGATGTGAATGGGGAACCGGTTACCTGGTAAGCATCAGCCATCATGGGTGACGCATACCAGGTAATGGGAGTTGGCAGCCTCATGCAAGAAGGAGGGCCAGAAGCGGCAGCGGGGAAGGGAGGGCTGCTGGCTCCTCGCACAGTGTGGTTTGCCTGCTGCTCGCTTCCTCAGCAGGGCTATGCAGTGGCTGCTGCCCCACCCCAAGAGCAGCCACCATGCTGCCCTGGCCCTAGCTTCAGCCCTTCCTTAGGGCTGGAGCTGCAGCGAAGGCTGGCCACGTGGTGAGTGGTGGTGGCATCAGCTCTGGCGGCCGGGGCCCAGGTACAAGCCGCCGTGTGGGGAGCATGGTGGCGGCACGTTAGATGAGAGAGAACTATTCTAACAAAGTGGCTCTGAACTCTTGTGCATCCCCTTCAACATTGGCCTGATCATCCTCCAAACTTGATGGGATCAGACTAAGTGGCTACATTTGCTGTGATGGTGGCGATGCCACAAGTTTCCTCTTAAATATGCACAAAACAATGCGTGGTTAAAAATAATTCTTTGAGAATGGCACTTTTTTGTTTGTTTTCTATCAGAGCGTATGCTGCCTGCACATAGAAAATTGCATATTAATCTCCAAAGAATGACCAGTTTCCATTATAGTCACCCAACGGAACTGCTGACATTTTTTTTTAACATTGTGAGTGCCGTTAATTGTTTTCTGTGGTTTCAAATAGCAGTATTTCTTTTCAAATGGGACATGAAATCTTAAAAAGTCATTAGCTTCGGTCTATGTACAGTATTTAACTTTTACCTTCCAGTATGTTTAGTATCTCCACAGAAATTGTAGTATTTAACTTTTACCTTCCAGTAAGTATGTTTAGTATCTCCACAGAAATTGCAAAAGCCATCATGTCTCTGAAGATTTAGGACTTGGGGTAGTGGTTTTATGGCCTTTTTCATTATAATATAATACATGTAGGAATGACCAAGTAAAGGCTTAAATACAACAAAAGGACTCCTCCTTGCAAAATGGTCACAATTAACTACATTGGGGGAATTAATAAATGCCACTTTATATAATAAAAAGACCCTAAGAGGAGGATGCTAAGTAATTTTGACCATTTTACAGACTGAAAAATTAGAATATGCAGAGGTGGTTTATTAGTTATTATTTGCACTATATTACTGAACTATCTAGAGTCTACCAGCTGAAATCAGAGCTGAAGTAATGTGTCCAATTTTGAGCTCCACGCTTTAGAACAAAATAGTGAGAGAGTCCAGAGAAGAGTAAATAAAAGAAAAAAGAGATTTAGAAAACTTTACCTAAAAGGAAAAGTTAAAAATGGGCATGTTTAGTCTTGAGAAAAGACGACTAAGAGGGAGACCCATGCTGGGTGGTTTTCAGGGTCATGCACTTTGTTAATTATCCCTTGTTTTAGTATTTTTCTTACATAACATAGATAGATAGATTAGACAAGATAGATTAGATAGATAGATTAGACAGACAGACAGACCATTCATCATATTTTATTTAACTGAACAGATAAATACGGGTTTACTATCAAATCCTTGCAAAACTTTTTAAAAAGACTATCTGAAACACAAACAAGCTGCTTAAACATAGTATCCCAACAAAAAAGACCTGTTTGATTAATCCAGAAACACAAGCCTATTGAACAAAATATCCTCTATTTTTCCCCTCTTGATTTGTAGCATCTATTCTGAAATCTAACCACTTTTTCAATATACAGAAAATAAACAGTTACCTAAAGCTTAGAAATCAACAATAGCATGAAATGTAAACTTAGCAGTCATGGATGCTGGCAAATGAATCTTCTAAGTCTGTAATTTAATATAAACAATTACTGACACCTTCAAAACATGAATACAGACAGGGGCGACTGGTGCTGCAGGGGAAGAGGTGCAAGGAGGGCCACCCAGAGGAGGTGGAAGGGTGCATCCCATTTAGCAATTAAAATTTTGGCAGGGAACAAGGGGTGGGTGCACATCCTGATTGCTGTCCCGAGTCATCTATGAATACAGATTGCATAAAAATGCCAAGATTATGGCTACATTATGACTTCAGGGTATGATTCCCCTCTAATGTTATACACGTGATCAGGTTAGCTCTCACTGAGCTAGCACACATACATAAACAGCAGGCTGACTGAAATCAGCGGTGAGTGTTCAGCATGGTAAAGCCATGTTACTGTAACTTGCTGCCCATGCTACTGTAGTTACATTCCTATTTATGCTCGTGTGAGCTTGATGAGTTAGCACAACTGCATGTACAAGGTGGAATCACACCCCTAGCTCATACTGTAGACAAAGCCTCACGGTGCATCAAAAAACAACAAGGGCACAAAGCACTGGAATAAGAGTATTGTTAAACAAATACTCAAAATCTGAGTGTATCAGAGCTGACATTACTGGGTTACAACTGAGTCATCCCTTTCATACATATTTTGTTTTAAAAATAAGTACTCCCATTTCTAAAAGTGAACTACTTCTCTGCTCAGTAAATTTAGCACACAGAAATGGACCCACAAAAATTAACGTGAAAAGCTCATTATAAAACATACTTTAGAAAACCACAAGGGTTTTGGAGGCATTCCACATTGCATAACTTTACGACTAATGATGGGCATAGGATATCAGACACATACAGAATGGACACCTACCAAACCAACTCCAATCTAAAGGTATTTGCCATCGGAAAAAGCTGAGTTGACAATGAGCTTTAAGCATGGTTGGTGACACTGAAGGCATACAAAGGAGTTCTATGGTATTTTTCTCTGTCATCAACCTTTCTTCATTTCAGTACAATTCTTGTCAGTCAGGCCACAGTCCAATAAATGTCTTTTATCGTAGGAGCTGATACACATCTCCTTTTCTGGATAAGGGGCTACATTTAAAAGGCCTTCTTTGTGAAGAAAAACTGACATAGAAATTTTAATATGTATCTATGTGATGAGCAGAGACATGTCATGGCTATTTCAGATAAACCGATCGAATTCCACTGGCTTAATTGGCAGGGCTCTCGGAGTCACACCAAACTTTCTCTCTCCTAACTTGCAATCAAATGCAAATGCAAGACAGTTTAGAAAAAGAATTACAATGATTAATAATAAACAAAGACATTCAAATAAAATAAGAACTGATAAAAATCTTTGACCATATCACAAACCAAACATATTTAAGGTTTGAACAAAATTTGGGCATTTTCTCTCCCTATTCAAATTTTATGAACCTCTGCACTTCCTGTATTCAGGATTAGAGGACTAAATATTGCAACATAAGGCTCCTCTCACAGTGTTACTAACCCAGAAAAACTAGAACTCCAGCAAAATAAAGCAAACAAAAAAGCGTAACTTAAGAAATTCAGACACTCTCAAATTAAGCATCTAAAAATCGACTAAAAAAATACATTTAAAATACACTAAAAAACAGTGTGCGCACATAATGAGGGACACTCATTATTACAAATGATATACTATTTGGGCCAGCCTGCAAAAACAACAGGAGTTTTGGGTTGAACCTCCCAAATCTGGGACTCTCAGCCTGCAAAAACAACAGGAGTTTTGTACAAACTACAGGTTGAACCTCCCAAATCTGGGACTCTCTGGTTCAGCAACATTTGTGGACCAGAAGGATGACGGATGTTGTTGGACCAGAGAGCCTCGGAAGTGAGGAGCATGAGCCAGCTGGGAATCCTGAGGGTGCTGGGGAGCCCAGCTGGGCAAGCAAAGGCTGGTCCTGTGGTGGGTGGGGAGTCAAGCTCCAGGGAGCCCCAGCCCAGGGAGCCCCGGTGCAGCAGGCTGGAATCCCAAGAAGTGGGGCCAGTGGAGGCTCGAGAGTTCCGGTCCGAAGAGGCTGACCCCTGGAAACCCAGCATGGGGCCAGCAGCAGGGTGGGGAGGCCAGGCTCTGGGGTCGCGCACAGCCCAGAGAGGAGTCTGACCTTTCCTGGTCCTGCAAACTCCTTGGTTCGGGACCACTCAGGTTCCAAGGGTGCTGGACCAGGGAGGTCCAACCTGTAGTCATCTTGTAAATGGGCCTGAACCAAAGACGAGCCAGGGCCAAACACTTCTGAACATTAGAAACCAGAACTCGAATCTAAACTTTGCTGATGGCCCCTACACTTTTGATAATTAAGCAAACCCCCAAATCCGGACCCTCTGAATCCCCAGTCACTAGAAATCTGAGTGTGACTTTTCTGTGGATTTGGCCCATTTCTTCTGAAGACTTAAAAACAAGAAATTCAAAACATATTAAACTACAACCACAAAAGAAACAAGTCTTTTAAAAGAGGACAGTACGTGGGAATCTTGCTGGTTTGGCACACACAGGACCTATAACAAGGCCAAAATGCTTATTACTTGCTTGACTGGTTTGTAGTTCCTGGTACTTCCCTCTCCAGAGATTTTTATTGCCAATGATGAATCAAGGTTTGGTTTAATAGATGCAATGAATGTTTCATGTAACTTTTTTTTTGTGATGTATGTTTCAAATTTGTTATTAGTTTTTCCCTACGGGCGAGTTCCAAATGCATCCGCAGCTTAATCAGATTACCTTTGGGAATTTGCTTAATCTCTCCCCCACTTCTATTTGATTATGGTCCTATGTATTTCTGAAGCTGGTACTGGGTGTTTGGTTAGGGTTATGATTGACTGAAATTCCTTCCTTCCTACTGGAAATGCTTCCTTAAAATTTCCTTTCTGCCTGGAATCTAGTTAATACACTGATAAGTACCTTACAAACAAAATTATAAGTAAAATTAACTAAGGGTCTGTTATGACACCCATTTTTTTTTAAACCAGCTGGAAATTTTTCACTGACTTCAATGAACACTGTGGATCAGGCAATAATTGCATCAAGCACATTTCTCCCTTAGACTTCCAATATAAAACATGCTTCATTTTTAATGTCCCTACTCCTGCCATATCCCCATCTCTCTTCTTCACTTGAGGCACATTCTCTACATTACATTGAGGCGCTCCATATTCTGGCTTCCTATTATTTTAGGCACTGAAACCATCTCTAGAATGGCAATTTTGTTCACAACTGATTTGAATCTATATCAAAACTCTGATGTTATCAAATCAATTTCATGGCTCTTTCACTCTCTCATATATATAATTTCTTTTTGAAGGGGTTGGAGGTGGGGTGCAGGGGTAAAAGTTTTGTAAACTCTTTATCTACTTTCTGTTACCTGTCTGCGCAGGGGAATGCGCTTAGTCAGCTTGTGCACAGCAGGCTGACTGCTGAAGTCCGGCTTCTTGGTAGTGTTCTTCATGCGACATATGATAACTGTCAGCACCATGCAGGCAATTAAGAAGACCCCTATGCAGTAAATGGCTATCTCCAGGTAGTCTGGGGATGCTGGATACTCTTTTTTTTCCTCAGGAGCTAGGTTGCAATTTTGAGGGAGAAAGAATCATGCCACAGAGTTAGCACACAGCAGAAACATGTATCAGTACAGTGATTGAAATGACATTAATTTACATGTGGACTTCATGCATTGATTTCATGGAATACAGAATACTGTAAATCTCCAAAGAACTTGTTTAGAACATCTCGACCGGTACAATTGGTCTCCTTTTCCAGATTGCTGTGTCACGAAATTTGTGTGTGTGTGTGGAGAGGGGATAATGCATTTTCTTTCATTATGAATTCAGTGCTAAAAAATAAAACTATGCCCAGGTTTGTTTTCCAATTCTGACTAATAAGCCAACCTCTCAAGAAGGAGAAAATCAGCACATAATTCACTTCAGATGAATAAATAGTTAAACCAATTTTTGATAGCAACAAATAACAGACTAAAATCAAAATAATTCACAAGAGCACTTTATTTAGCGTTGCTATCCAGCCGTATGCACATTTACGGACAAAACATGTATTCATTTAATTGGGCTAAAAGAAAGGCTTATAGACTACTAAACAGAACATTCTATGGGAATGAGCCTGCATTGCTTGCATATCCAAGATTTCCACTGGGAAATAAGTGCACAAGGAATGAAGGACCAATCAAGCCCCTTATGATAAGTGTGCTTCCTAACTCAGGCTGGGATTCTTAAATGAGTTGATGGGAGTTATCTGCTTAACTCTTAGTCAATTCATTGTTAGTTGGGTGCCTAATTTCCTTAGACTTTTTTGAAGAGCCCATCTGCAGACTAAAAGAGAATAAACTAACAAACATGATGAGGGAATTGTTTTCAACACATTTTAACAGTTCTCCTTCAGTCCGACTTACATTATAGTTACTAACACAGCTTTTTTATTAACTTCATCTGTGATTACAAGTCAATAAGATTTGTGTATGTATGTGTGGGATTTTGAAGTTATCCTCAAGATGGTTACATATGCAAATACTCTAAGTTCATCTTTACCTAAGCCTTCATCTGGAATATGCCTCCAAAAAGGCAGCGTACCATAATAATCAAGTGCCACTCTGCAAGCAGTGCACATCCAAGGTTTCATTTTCTTGCACCTCGTCTTCGGTTAACATCATATTTCATTCAAGCAAATTGGTTAAAAGATGCTAATCAGTCACTTGCAAAATGCAAACACTGCTAGCAGAAGCAAGCTCAGCATAAGCACTGTCTGACTGCTTAGTGATGAATGAACCATGCAGACATCAGTTCACTGGGCAAGAGGACAGTGAAATATAATGGAACTGTTTTGTCCAATGCATTTGAATAATAAAGACAAAATGTCTACAGTTATTAAGAACATTTCACTCACATAGCACAAATTTCCACTATAAAATTATGCAAGACACATGCAGGTAACTGCACCTTTTTCTTAGGATTAAGAACTAATTAATGCTGAAGTACGTAATGGCCCAGCAAATCACAGATCATTCAAGTTATCTCAAAGGTAATATCAAGGCAGTAGCATTGTAGATGTTACACATAAGAAAATTTCACTAGCACAGAAATAAACTAAAAGGTTACATTTTCTGACAGCTAACAATTTTCAGGCAATAGAGCACATTGATGTTTGTTTCTCCCAAGAAAAACATCAATCCCAGCATTCCAGGACATGCTTTGCTTTGCTATTCGTTCTCTTAAAACATGCAATGTTGAAAGATGCACAGAGCCGATTCCCAAGGTATATAATACACTGCTTCTGTATACATTCTTTGGCTTTAAAATTCGACCCAATGATTCTCACAAGACACTGGCTATAGGTAAAAGTTGAACATTATCATATTAAATGGCTTAGAGATTTTGATGGAAATGTCCTTTATAATGGCCAAATTACTTTCAAAATTACCAAGGTAATCTTGAATTTCCTCTTATAGGAAAAATCTTTGAGGATTAATGTGTTGATTCTCAGCATCTTATAAGTGCTAAAGAGATACATTTCCTTGTTTGATGAATGTAAAGATGTTTAAATTAAGCCTGAGAGTGGCTCAATTTGTCCTTTACATTTTTCATAGCTGCAGACTAAGAGCTGTTTTGTAAGATTCATCAAGGCTACTTCCCTTAAAAATAATAATTAAAAATTTTGAAGATAATAACAGCCCCATTTCTGAGACAGAAGCTGTGCTAACTCCGAAGCAACCAACAAAGAAAATAAAGAGGAAAAACCACTGAAAGAGAGCAGTGTATACCTGGCAGAACTGTCAACCATGCAGTGTGAAAGGATATCCCAATAGAATTACCCGCCAAGCATGTATACTCCCCAGCATCCTCAAAAGTTACATTCCGAATATAGAGAACCTCAATCTCTTTGTCCGTGGTGTTAACACCGGCGGCCTAGAAAAAAAAAGGGAAGCAAGAGAAAAGCTAGACATTGTGGGAATTCTTGTGGACAGGGCTGTGGAACCACAGGGCTTTGCACTTTGTGAAGTCAGAGGTGTGCAGATCCAAAGTTCCTTCCCCATCCACAAATTCCTCATCCAAAAGGTGTTTGCCAACAGGTCCCAGCTCACCTCAGAGAGTAATCAACACCCTTCACCAGACTTAAACACACCACCTAAACATGCATGCAATCAAATGACATGGAAAAATTAACCCACAACACTTAGTTTTCTTTCCTTTTTTTTTTTTAAGAATAAAAGTACATTGAAAGAAAAACACAGAAAATGAAGTAGGACAGTTTCTGGTACCACTCAGCTACCAGAGAGAGTAATGCCATACACAAACAACTTGCTCGCTACCTTGAGCAGAATATGACCTTAAGAGTTCCTTTTCCATCACATTATATTTAAACATGATAGATTGTGCAGTGCTGCCAAGTCTCACAATTTTCAATTATCTTGCCTCATGATGTGCTTTTCCTAAAACTCCATCTTCTAGAATCATGCAATTCTGAGACAATCTCAGATGCTTGTGCTGCTTTTTATTTTTTCCCTCATGATATGTTACAAGCCGGTGATTGTGAAGGAGTAGTTAGAAAGTCCTAAAAGTTTTTTAAAAATCAGGAGGGAAATCAAAAGAACCCAACTGTATACAGGCAGTCCCCGGGTTACGCACAAGATAGGGACTGTAGGTTTGTTCTTAAGTTATGTAAGTCGGAACAAACCTACTGTAGGTTTGTTCATCTGTATGTAAGTCGGAACTGGCGTCAGCTGCTGCTGAAACTGATCAGTTTCAACCGCGGCTGAATCTGGATGCCAGTTCCGACTTACATACAGATTCAACTTAAGAAACCCAGGCGTCCCCAAGTCAGCTGCTGCTGAAACTGATCAGCGGCTGATTCCAGGAAGCCTGGGGCAGAGCAACTCTGCCTCCCCTGGTCTGCTGGGGGGGTCCAGCGGCTTTGCTGGACCCCCC